CCTTTTTCTGTAGGATATTTTAAAGTAGTAGCTTTTTTAAATGTAGTGGTTTTAAATTAAAACCATTCTGTAACAAAGGAAAAGTATTTTATCTCATTTTTGAGATTCCGTAATCTCAAAATCATATTCTGATAGCTTTGGGACCACGGTGTAACCATGGAAAATGTTTCAGGCATAGACATATCCTTAGATGACTTGTAATAAACAACAAAAGGTTAATATTTTAAAAAGAGCTCAGTTTATTAGCCATCCATTATCTCTGGAAAAAGATAATCCTCACTTAATCTTTTCAGCAGATGTTAAAGGTGAGCCATTTAAACAATTCAAAAGCTGAACAAAACCCTATAAATTAAATATTATTGTACATCTTTGGTATTAAGCTTATTAACTCAGTAATGTTATATCCAATAAATGGACAGAACTATCATAAACTGAAGAAGAAAAATAATACAGAGACATCATCAGATCAGTCATTTTATTGTCCCAGGTACAGTACATGTGACATTTTCTACAGTTCAAGGCTAGTAGTTCAAGACTACACTAAAAACTGAAAGTAACAAGGTTACAGTATTTTATATATAGATTAAATACTTATTCAAATAAATACAAAAATATCTCCACTGACCTGCAGATAAACACATTCCTGCCTGTTGCTGTCACATGTGTTTGAAGGTTGCCAGCCCTCAGTTTCTTGTCTTTGCATGCCACAGTTAAATGTCCCTTTGTTTTTGAATATTCGTTATGATTGCAAACACCGCTAAGGTTCAGATACAGAGACACAGAAGGAGAGCTGTTGTTGTAGGGCATTACTATGGCACTGCAAAGTTGGTGTCCCACAAATTTTCATTCCTCCTCTAATTGATTTTTGTTCATTCCTGCTTTGATGTTCCATCCTTGCTCCAGCTAGAGCTTATATCAGCATACCAGCTCTCCTGACGTGCTATAAAAAGAACAGACTCCAGCTTAGTTGCTTTTGTACCTACTTACATCGAGGTTAATTGTGTGAGAGTTGCTCATGCACAAATTCTAAAATTAAGAGGATTAGCTATTGAACATGTGTCTGAACAAGGTTGATTCATAACAATATTTTTGTGCACATAATAACTGAAGTCATTAGCATCACTCCCCACTATCAGAACTACACAAAACAGGAGACTAGCAGGTGACCGTCTGCAGGGGAGTTTGCAGGGAAACCAGGCACACATTTTCTCACTTGAGAAACAGACGACAGAGCACCGGCAATACAGGACCTCGTTAATGTTCAGTAAACATGTGCTGTAAGTCTGGTACAGCTGAAAAAACAAATTGACACACTGAGGCAAGATGAATTGCTCACAATTATATTAAGCAGACTGCAAAACAAGCTTCTACACTGCCCTACCGATTATTGGAGAATACCCTGATACATCCAACTTCCATCAGTGATTATAGTTTCATCATGTCCATGTCATGGTAGAAATTATGCTAGATGTCCACAGATGTCCATGGAGCTACAAGACACAGTTACAACTACTCTGTATGAGATTTGAGGAACAGCTCATTAGTTTCATGTGGCCTAACCTACAATTCAGATTGGACATTTTTTATCAGAAAAGCTGCTTCTAAACCCTTAAGGTTGTCTGAGTTGACATTAGCCAGGTTTGCTGTGGCTTTCAGCAATGCCTCAAACAGTTGTGCACTAATCAAGCCTATTGTGTGGTCATTTATATCAGCTTAGTTTCCTACTGCACGCTGCACTGGGAAAAAGGCCTGATGTATTTGAAGATTTTAGGACATATTGATGTCAAGCCATTCCTGCCACAATAAACAGGATGTGTCACTCCTGTGAATCATACTGTTCTCTAATAGTTTGGAATGGTAGTATAAGATTAAATTGAAAACAAATGGTCACTATGAGTTCAATATGTCTTGAATAATAATAATTTGTATAATAATTTGGAAACCAGAAATGTATTGTTTCTGTTTTGTGGTTGAAATAATTAGACACAACTGGCCTGGATTCTAAGACTTCACTGTATACATTGAGAGGGTGATGCAGTACAGTTCAATCATACTTTAGATATCTTGCATTGCTGTTGCAGTGCTTTGCAGAAAACTTATTCATCTGCTTCCTTTTTTAAATGTGTCTCTCTCAGTTAACAAAAGCTGTTGTTTAATAAGTGCCTATGTTTGAGAAAAAATAGCAATCTCATGTTTTTTTATATTTTATTACCAGCATAATAAATATTCAACATCTCCAATTTTATTTTTGATATGATTTATTTACTAGAGTTTAAAATGGGATATCAATTGCTTTCTTATCTGTAAAAATATATCAAAAAAGTGTTGAGTATGCTCTTATTTTATCTTTCACATTTCTACTAATTTTAGGAAATAACATTTCCAGGATTGTAAACATCAGCAAACCTTTCAGACTGCAAATCATACAGAGAGGGTTATTTTAGTTGCCTTTTCAGCAAAAAAAGTCATCCACCTTCGCTTCCTCGTTTGGTATTACTGTGAGACAAGAAGAAGACTGTAGACTCTACCAGAAGCTAAACATTTAATAGATAGGATCACTTTATTAGCCCTATACAATTTCTTGTGTAAGGAATTTGTCTTTTCACATACTCCAGCTTGCTCTCCATGAGACACACAGACAGGGAGAGAAGCTGGGGGTCAAAGCACAGGGTCAGCCTTTTATACAGCACCCCTGGAGCAGCTGGGGTTCAGGGCCTTGCTTAGGGGCCCAACGGAGTAGGATTCCTCTGTGAGCCGCGGGATTTGAACTGGCAACCTCCCAGCCACAGGCGCAGATCCTGAGCCGCAGAGCCACCGCTCCCTCTATAGCAGTCTACTCAGTTAGGTTTCATTTTAATTATGATCAAGGTGTAGAAGAAGAGGCAAGAAATTAGATAAGGATCCCATCCATCTTCATCATAGGGTCATAAACCCCAAGAGAATAGTTTAGAGTAGCACATCCCCTCATCCATGAATTGAAAGCTGTCTCTTCCTCGCAAAGATCACGGCAATCTGGACCCCAGCCTGGAAGCATACTGCGCAAGGTGGGGTGACACACAGGATCAGCTGCCAATCCTGAAAAAAGCCAAACAGGCAAAGGTAAAGCATGCAAACTCCACACAGACAGTACCCCAGTCTCGACTCAGCACTCCTGTCTGTGAGGCAGCAGGACTAACTACTAGCAGTCCTAAACGGCATGTCAGCAGAAGGTGAAATGAAATTAAGTCACCTGGCAAGAAAAGACAGAAATTGCAAACTTCACCCAGATGAGCACCCCAGGGGACCCAGAGCTGTGAGGCAGCAGCATTGATGGAACATGACTTATGTTAAATTGTACTATTTTGAGCAGACTGTGAAACCACTGCCTTTAAAAAGGCCAATATCATTTGATGATATTTTTAATTATAAATGACAGTGATGCTTTACACCCATCCATCCATTAACCGAAAGATGCAGGGACACAGCATTTCAGAGCCTATCCTGGAAGTACGGGCTGCAAGGCTGAGCTACAGTACTACTCCCTGAACAAAGCGCTGCATTTCGTTAACTTCAGGAGGGGCGCAATGACCAGAAGTGGCACCAGAGGGCGCCACAACGATGTTCCACGGGCTGTTTTCAAATTTCTTGTAAACGGTTCACCTGGGCGAATAATGGAACAAGAGCAATTGGAAACATGGCCTTTGCAGAAGGGAGAGTGGATTAAAAGGGCTGTCTCTGGTTTATAATGGGAAAAGACTAGTTAGAATATGGTTGGCAGACCAGGGGTGTTGGTGATAGCCACTCAAACCATGTTAGCTACTGTAGTATTGTGTTTTGGTTGTCTTTGTTTTACTTTGAAGTAGTTAGTTGAAGTAGGTAGCTGCATCAGCATGCTGAAAAGAGAAGACAGGAAACACAACGTTTCGGCTGTGGAGCCTTATTTGGGTGTGTCCTGAAGTCTCTTCTCTTTTCAGTATGGGATAAAGTTTTTACTTGTTCCTTTGTTTTACTTTGTTCTTTAACCTTTATGAAGCCACAGAATTCTGATATATATTTTAACCATCAGAGGCACCAGGCACCAGCACATTGCCAGTCAAGCGTGGGCAACAGCATGTTTATGTCATTTGCAGGCTGTGGCAGGTTGGTTCCCAAACAGCAGGATTAGCTGAGCTTTAATCATCCAGGGTATCCCTGCCCTGCTGTGCAGATGGGGCATCTGCAAACTGCCAGGTGCCAATAACGCTGCATTACTCCTGCTTTAGGCACAGTGGGATGCAGGAGGTGAAGCAGAAACAGTTCTGATAAGAAGGAATGCCTGCCTTCCATGCTGGATCAAGAACTGATGTGCTGAGATGAATGAATGTTGAATTTTATTTGGAAAATACCAAATCTTAAGGCAAAAAGTAAGTAGTACTAAGAAAGTTTTGTTCAGTCACAAAAGGGATATAACATAATGTTTACTTTGCAAACCATCATAGCCACACAACTTTGTAATTTCCAACAAAGAGTCTGCAATATTCTTTTAAACCATTGAGTAACCCAGTCCTAGGAATTATATTGACAATTTCAAACCTATTTACATGTTAATTCCAATGTTAATCCTGAATGTAAATTCTTTTTCATTCCATAGACTGGATGGTATTATGTTTCTGTTATGCAGACATTCAGCTCTCCCAAAGAAAAATGCTAAAAAAGTCTGCCAATACAAAAATTTCCAACTTTGAAAATTTTGTTTCACCTTAGAAAAGGTCAATCTTCAATCTCATTGTTTTTCAGTTCTTTTTATGGAATAAAAATACAGATAGTTTTATAGGCTTTGAAGTAGGTTGCAGTTAACCTCAGTGTTGTAAATACATTGATTTTTTTTTTGTTTTCAGAAATCTGTTATAACTCTAACAGATTAAAGTTTATTTCTTATTCTTTTGTCCAGTTAAATCGCCTTAGTGCAAATATCTAATGCCTTTGAGCAATTTATTGAGGAATCCTGAAAGAAGTTTTTATGATATTTTTATTTTGCCCACTTTCGTATTTCTTACAGTACAAACATTTCTTTATGGAATACACAATAGGTAAGAAGTAGATAGATACTGAAATACTTTAAGAAACATATACCACAGTGTTGCATCTACAAGGGATCATCAAGGTGATGATTAGGGTGTTTGTGACTTTTTAGTATACTTATTAATTAAATTGACTTTTCTAAAATAGGTTTTCATTTTGGGAACCATGTGTTCATATGGATTAACAAAATCACTTTGCCTCTCTGTGCATAGAGCTTGACTTCCTGTCTGCCAGTGTGCTGAAAAAAACACTTACAGTGGATGCTTGGGTAACATTCTGCAGAATCCAGAAAGCATTGGATGTAGATGCTTTTGTGTTGTTTTACAGTGCAGTAAAACAGTACAGAAAATACTTTTCATGGTTGACTTCTTTTTATTCCCTTTTTAAAATAGGACACTTTAGCACAAAATCTCTCTCTATCCATGATACTTTACACGCTGCACATAACAAACAAAGACATAGACAGAGATTGGAAAATTACTTTTAATGAACTTTTTTGCTCTCCAGTACTAGTCACGTGGTGTCATTTAAAGATGACTTCCGAGATACTGCTAATGAATGAATGACATTGTATTAGACTGTTCTCTGCACTCTAAGAACTACATACACTACTTAGCAATCACTTGGACAAAACACCACACAATTGTAAGGCATACGACACAGAAACCCCTGCATGCTTTAACTGGCACTCATTAACAGCACTCAGATGTGCTGCGTATTACAGCAGACAGCAGACGCACTGCTTAAAGTAGAACATTCTGCTAAACAGTGTGAAAAGATGTGTATTTAAATAGATATACAGTAGGACAGTTTATACAGGACAGTACCTGCAAAGTATGAACCCCCATCCAATGATGTTGCTTTATGTTGATTTAGAAATTATATTGTATTTACACATTTTATTCATATGAATATTTGTAATCAAAGTGTGAATGGTCAGTTAAATGTCAGCTATAACAGCAAAGCAAAAAGATTAAAATACTGTATGCTGGTTGGTCTCTACCAGCTTTGGGTCCCGACTAGTTCTGTTGGTTGAGCATGAGACTCATAATCTCAGGTACTGGGTTCATGTCCCATGTTGGGCACCAGGTCCTCCATGTTGGCTGTTGGGCACAAGGCTAACAACCCTCTCCTGTACAAAATGAATGTTACAGAAACAGCAACAGGATGGTGATGCCCCTACATGCTGGAAGGCATCCATTCATCTACCAACTTTGCACATGGGTGCAATTTTAGCCCGTTCTACTTTGCAAACTTGCCCATACTTTCCAGATTGGTTGGAGCTTGTTGATGGCAAGAATTTTCATTTCCATATTGGATTCATGTCACTTTGACTGGCCCACTCAAGAACGTTCACTTTCCCTGATGTTAAGCCTTTGTATCATTCAGAAGGTTGGTCTCTTGCTTGAAGGTGAATTTTTGTCACAGGTTTAGGTCTTTAGCAGACTGATGCAGGTGTTTATCTAAGATTTGCCTGTTATTTTGCCTATTTTGCCTGTTATGATAATAACACTTTATAACTAATTATGTGACTTGTCAAAGTAATTTTGTGAATCTGAACTAGTTAAGGTTTCTCACTGACAATCCAGAAGAAATTCTTATGCATGCAAAGTATTTTGTTCAATATCATAGCGCCTTTTCACTGCACTGTACTTTGACTTGTTTCATTCTTTTTAAAAAATGCTCACAGACACCAGTGTTTCAATGTGCAGTATGGAACTTCTTCACAACAGACAGGACACCAGCCCATTCGAGAGCACCCACACACATGCAAGAAGAAAAGGACAATTCAGGGACACCAGACTACAACACCTGGAGAAATCCAATGTCAACATGATGACAAGATCCCATGTAAAATTCACACAGTACACATGAGTATTACTGGAGCCTGAGAGCTTTGTGGCAGTGGTCCTATTAGCTTTATGGAGGCTTTCCCCCATTTAAAAAAATACAGGCTGAAAATGATGTTGTGAATCTGAAAGGCTGATGTCTCGTTTTTCTCTATGCGTTTTGACAGTAAGATTGCCACTTTGAAATGATCTCCTTGGGTCTCAAAAGCTAAATAAGCAGAGGTACCAAGCAGAGTTGGTACCAGGAGTGGAGGCATCTGAGGAAATTCAGGTGACTGCTGTAGTAACTGTTGGTGGGACCAGTAGGTGGAGCTCTTCCTCCTGCACCAGAGGTTTCAAATGCAATGCCCCAGTGTTGTAACAAGGGAGACCGTGCTGCTGGATCTGTCATACTTCTGACATGGCACTATACAAGGTCCAGCTTACTTTTGCTTACTTGGTCTTTAATGACCAGACAACGCTTTTTATAAGAGTGGTTTAATCCCCAGTGTCCTGGCTAAAGTCCACTCCTGTCTTGTTCAGTCAAGCCTACCTAAATTTCTTCAGTACTATGACACTTCTCCACTTGATGGGCAGTAGTTTTCTTGGTGTATATCGGTCCTCTCCTGAGAATGAGAGCTGTTACCATGAAGTCAGTGGGGCTGTCTACTGCATTGCCTTTCTGAATACTGTGACACACTAGAAGTGCTCCTGGATCACTTTTTGCAAAAAAATGGTACATTTAATTTTTTTAGTAAAGAGGAACAATAAGAATGCCAGGAAGTGAACTGCGGTAAGCTGTCCATAAAATGGGATTAGTAGCAAATAATTGGCCAGAGTTATACAGTAGTGAGCCATATTAAATGATGTATCAGGGATTTTCTGCAGAATGTAAATGTTTTTTGGTAATATTGATACAAACCTCAGTCACTCCCCTCTGAGAATGATGAAAAATCGTGAGGCAGCAATTCATTGTGTCACCTGACTTCATTCACATCAGCACACAGGTGTGAACCTGCTTTGGGAAAAGCTGACCCAGCTCATCTAGTTAACCACAACCGAGCAGAACATGAATAGCTGGAGTCTATCCCAGCAAGTAATAGGTTCAAGGCAGGATACACCCTGTCCATCACACAGACACAAACACGCACACACTCACAAAAAGCACAATTTGTTTGGAACCCAATGAGCAAACCAGTATGTATACAGATTCTATGCAGATCACTGACCACTGCCCCATCTTGCTGGACAGTATTAACTTGCTAACATATTAACTGCATATTTGGGTAATTATTGATGATAATAAAGGAGTGTTTAAAATCCATTTGTTGGTTCAATTGTGTAATTACACTGGGGTTTTCATTGAATGGCATCAGTTTTGTTCACAGGTATGTGTCTAATTATAATACTAATTAAGCCTGCTATAGACTGTCCCTACCACACATTTCTGTAATGTAGCATGAAATATCCCATTACACCTATTTTTTAAAGATTCTAAAGTCTGTGTAGCTACTCTAGAAATTCGTGTTATCTCTCCACTTTGCAATGAGTTTGCACTCCACTGACATCAGACTGGATTAAAATATTTGCTTTGCATCTTATTTTTCCTGAAACCCTGAATACAAAGAACGATCCCTTTACGCCTTAAAATGCAAATATCACATTTATCTCCCTACAGGTTAACAGTTCTATGTATCTGGCTTTTACAATATTTACAATAAAAGAACAGACTGTATAAAAGCACATACAGTATGTGAGGTAATACAAAATGTAGTCCATTACATAATACACAGTACACAGTTTGACCCCAAGACCAGTACTAGGAGGATACTGTACATATACAGCATATATTCTAAAAAACGTGCCCAAGAAATCTGCTTCTCAGTTTGTCCTGATGTGACATTGGTGTGATGAGTTTCCCATCCTCAGTGTCCGGCGTCTCCGCTCACTTGTGTTTGTGAATGAAATTTCCCACTCTTTGCATGAATCTCCCAAACTTGTTTTCATGGGGAGGGTATGCCTGGTACCCCGCACCGTTGTGAGGCAGTAAACCGGCTCCTGCGCGGCTGCTGAAGAGGCTCTTCTTCTCGGGGGCGTGGATGGTCGTGGTGGCGGTCACCGTGTGGTCCGCGGGAGACAGCTGCTTCTCGAAGGTGCAGAAGGGCTCGAAGCGGCTGTACACCCGCTTCTCGCTGAGACGGCTCCTGCGGAAGGCCTCCGTCGCCAGGCCCGGCCTCTCGTAGCGAGCGCTGCCCGACTGCGGCCTCTGCCGCTCGAGGGTGCTGGGAGGCACGTTGGAGACGTCGGAGGTGCTTCGCTGCTCTTGCTCGGTCTGATAATGGAGCTGTTCGGTCCCGAATCGCGGGGCCGATGTACCTCCGACATTATGTGAAAAATGATTTTCCTTTGCTTGAGGCTTCGAATTTGCTTTGGCATGGGCAGTGCTGTCAACAGATTTGATGGAATTCGTTGTGCTGCCGTTCTTCCCTTTGCCCGATTTGGAATTCTGGTCGTCATCATCAGATATTAAAGTGTCAGAACTGCTACACATTTTGTAATTGGAGTCATTTTTGCTCTTGGAAGAGCTATCTTTTTTGTCTGATAAGCTGAGCAGAGATTTGATCTTTTTGGTGCTCTTTTTGAAGAAGCGTGGTGAACCTTCACTCCCTTTGTTTGACTTCAGGGAGGGTTGGCCATTGCTTTCTCCAAGAGAGCTAACAGACACAGTTCGCAAGGGTGGTGTCTGCCAGTTAGAGTTTGAAGGCACGTGTTTGTCCACATCATTCTTAATGTTGTGCTGTGAAGATGATCTCTGTCCCTCCATTTGAGGAACAACAGGATTATTCTGAACAGTCCTCTCAGCCTCATTCTGAACCATTGTATTCGTCTGTCCAAGAGCTCCAAACATGTAGCTAGATGATCCATTTCTAGCACTGCAGTCCACATTTGATTTTGAGCCATTCAAGTTATGCCTGTTATAAGAATAGTTCTCTTCCTTTTGTGCAAAATCAGGCTGCTTTAATGGTGCTCTCTTAAGGGTGGAGTAAACAGAGTGGTAGGGTTCTTTGCCATTTGCATAGCTCAGATTTGTCTTGGGTTCATCGTAGATCTGCAGACTGCGTCTTTTTAGCACGTAGTCTTCCTGTCTCATCATGTTTTCCATGGGCACTACTGGGTTTCTCTGCAGTGAGGAATAAAACTTGTTGCCGCATGAAAGAGCTGGATCATCGTGTAGCTTAGAAGATGATGAGTTGGTTGCAAAGCTGCTAGATTCTGGCTGCTCTGGTATCGTGGACTTGAAGACTAGCGAGGATCGCATGCGTGAATGCATGTAAAGGGGATTCGGTTTGTTGTCTTTGCAGTCCATACCTTCGTAGGGGATTGTAAGGTGATCCAGGTAGTCCCCAGACTCCCCAGCAGGAAAGTCACTGTTATTCAGGTATGATTCAATCCTCCATGTCCTCAGGAAGGACTTTGCAGTTCGCTCTAGAGTTGGCATGTTTTGTTGCAATGAAAGGACTTGCTTGTCAGTGCCATGAAAGGACTGTCGGACATTTGACGTCCTGTTGTAAGGTTGGGTCAGTCTTCCCTGGTGGTACTGATCCCCAATACCACCAGAGAGGTATTCATTCCTTCCAGGTGCAGTGTGCATATCACTGTCTGCTGCCACATTCCAGTTGCTGGATAAGTATCTTGTAGCCCTCTGGGGAAGATAGGTACTTTCTTGTTTCTCTCCAGCATAACTGTGTCTTTTCAAGTAATTTTTTGTCTCAGGAAGCTGAAATTGTTGAATTCTGTTCTGTACGTTGAAGCCGGTATGGATTGCTGGTGTGTAGGTAGGTGTTCTTTTATGATATACATCACTGTCATAGTCTCCCAGGTTGTTCTTCGAATTGTACTGCCTTCCACAAGCTTTCATGTAAACTGTGTCAAGGGTGTGTCGCAGATGGTCTCTTCGTTCAAACTGTTGACCAGCATGTGACACATGTGAGGCTAAAGGGCCAGTTCCATTCTGCCACTTTCCATTATTACTGTCCAGCAATACGGTCTCCGGAGCAAATACTTGAGGTACAGTGGAGCGGGCAAACAGCATTCGGAATTCTTCATCGTAGGACTGAACAAGCTGGCCAGTGATTACCTGCACCATGCTGAGATTGATCTTCTCAAAGGACCACATGAAGCTGAAAGACATGCTTATGATGAGTAATGTCTTCAGGCTTATAGTGCCAACAAACAGAAAACAGCCTAAAAATAAACATAATATTTTTTCATGCATCCTTTTAAGGATCATTTTATCCAGTATAGGGTCGCAGGGGAGCCAGAGCCTACCCTGGAAATTAATGTGCAAAACACCCTGGACAGGACACCTACAGAACAGACACAAACAAGGACACACTCACACTAGGACTTTTTTTCCCAAAAGCCAATTATCCTGTCAGTATGTCTTGGGACTCTGGGAGGAAAGCTGAGCACTCACATGAACTCAGGGATAACATGCCAACTCCATTCAGATAGCACCCCAAGAATTGAACCAAGGGCCCCAGTGTTGCAAGACAGTAATGCTCACCACTGCATCACTGTGATGCCCTTTGTAATTTTTGATTCCTTTCATTTTTTAGTGTGAAAACTTACAATATCATAATGCCAGAGATAGTGTAATTTTTATTAAGCAAATTATAACATGACACTGTTTTGTTTCTTTCACCAGTGTTGAGCATTGAACTATGAAGCTATGATCTACTTCTGTAATCTATAATCTATGTTTTAAATTGCCAACTATTGCAGGTTTTGAGTGCACTAAAACAATAACATTTGATTACAATATTATCATCTACTTATATTATACAAAAATCAGAATTCAGAAATGTGCTATCTCATAATTCTGGAATGCAGGAAGTTAAAATTCTGATACTGTACCTGTAGGAACCATACACCACTGTCTGGCAGTCAATCAAGACAAACTTCTGCTCCATTGCTCCATGAAACTTTGCTCCAGACCTGCAGAGGTATTCTTGGCCCTTTACTGTGCGCACCCTCATGTTCTGTTCAAAATGAAACATGATGAGGGTAAGAAAACATCACGCAATATATTCCATAAGATTTGTACACATGTACACAGCCCAGTCCTGTTCCATTCATCTAGCAGGATCTCCACATGCAATTGTGGTGAGGATTGAGGTGCCCATTCCTCCGCTTGCCACAGTTTCCAGTAGAACTGATATGTGGAAATCGCAATTAAAAGCTGAAGAAAGAAACAATTCTGAATGGCTAAAATATCAGGATGACACAGGCATACAAAGAATGCCAAACACAGTTACATTGAAAATCGGGAGATGCAAGTGTGAAGAAATGTATTTTGAACTTATAAAAACAGAAGTGGAGTCTTTTACAACCACCCTGGTTTTCCACAGCTGTGGTGTGTAAGTGAAGAAAATCCTGTCACCAAAACAATGGCATGGGGTCACACAGCAATCTGCAACGCAATGAGTCACACTTGTCCCAGAGAGGTGAAATAACTCACAAAGCTGAGACAAGTTTTTTGGCAAATATTACTCTGGAGAAAGCAAACACCTTTGTAACATCTGTGGCATGAGTTTCAAATGCTAAAGTGTACAGTACATAATCTACAATTCCTTTAGACCTACAGAAATAATATTAAATTATACTTAATTGCAATGCATGTTGTATAGCTATTTTGAAATGCAGGTGTATTTTAGAAACAAATGGGTGCCAATTCGAAACTATGATGTGCCAGGGGCAGAGACAACCTGTAAGTACACAAATGTTTAAATATACAGTATGACATTAAGCCTCAGGGTTCAGCAGAGCAAAAGTAAAATTTATAGATCAAGAAGGAAGGGAAGGTTTTGATAAAGTGCTTTTTTAAAGGGAACAGTAAGATCATAGACGGTAGTACTGTATGAGTGTTGTATAGAACTACTGCTCAAAAATGCTTTAATAAAGTCTTCTAAAGACTGCAGTTAGTAAAATACTGTCACGAGCAACCTCTTTGAATAAGTCAGCAATACATATGCATATAATCTTTTAGGTTTATTAGAAAAGGTACTGATATAACCCCAACTCACATGAAATGCAAATGAGTAAGTGCCACAATCGAATATGCAAGGGCTTTATACAAACATCCAGCTCCCTGGTTATTAGTAATTAAACTAATACTTTGTCATCCTGCTCAGTCCTTTTTTTCTTTTCAAAACAGATTAGTGACAAGTAATGTATTTTTTAAATTTGTTAACCCTGGATCTCCACCATGTCTTTGCAACCAAGGATACAAATCTCTCACAACAAGCAATTTCCATTTATTGACTTGGGGACGGCAATCATTTTATTAATCTTCATAACCCCTAGTTTGTCCACCAACCACAAACAGATGAAAACACACTATGAGTAGACTCTTACCGTTCTTTTTATTTCGGTAGTTTGAGTAGTTAGTTTAACTGGGGCAGCTCACCTGGCTGCGCAGACTGCCTATCTGTCTCAATAACTTTGTTTTCAACTCCATTGCTGCTAATGTATGTACAGTGTAGTGAATACCATTGTAACTACCAGATTTAACTACCTGGACATTAAAAAAGATTAGCCAATGAATATAGTGTAACCTGTTCTCCAAATTAAGATTGTATGTGTATTTTATTTTCCTTTTCCTGTACAATACTTTTTATAGAATATCTCTTCGCTTTACTTTTTTTTTTAACGAAGGTTCAAATCAGTTTTAAACTTGGATATCTTTATTCATTCGTAAACTGCTGGTGACTTTGTAAAATCTGGCCCTAAGCCAAGTGCTGTAAAAAAGCTTATTGAACAGTAATTGTTCTAGATATTTGTTCTGTCATTATGGGCAAGACAGCGAAATTGCAGAGTCTGAGTAAACTGTCTGAACCATCGACATATTCAGGGCAGTGGTATTATAGGTGCCTGTCTGCAAACACAAAAGCAACACATTTCATATTATTTGTATTTTATAATATTTAATTTGTAAAAATTCTTGATTAGCCAGCAGATAAATGATGGCGATGTAAAAAGATATCCCTAAAAGCAGTATGGCTAATTTTATCTCAAGTACATTTTTCTGTGTGTGTGTTTGTTACTAACAGCATTACACAAGTTTGTGCATGAACTCTGCCAAAGGCTTGTAGTGGGTGTGGCAGACGATGTCTTAATTGCCTTTTTTATTGCTTCTTGAAAAGGTTCAAAACTGTTATGGAATAAGAGTATAGCCAAGCCCAAAAGTTGTTGGACATATTTTTATAGCAGATGTATTTATTCTAGTTGTTTGCAGGCTCCTAAGAAAATGTTTGTAAGCTTGATAATTAGGGACTGTAAAGTGACAGTAAGACTTTTTAAGAATTAATGTCCAATTTTGTCATTGTATTTTGCTACAATACCACAGAATATGCTTAAATCAGTATACAAATTAACAATAAATCAATTTGAAGTGGTTCCTGAGACATATTTTCTATTGTCAACAGATGCTCAGATTAAACACCCTTTGACTCAAGAAGCTTTTTACCTATTGCCTGTCATTTTAAGCCAAATTGCCTATCAAAGGCCATGAACACTTACTGTAAATAACAAATTGAAACAATCTCTGTGCAGATGTCAGTACTATAATAATGTTATTAATTTGAATTTCACTGAAACACAAGAGCAAGGTGAAAATCAGCTGAATAATAAAGGCTTTTCCTGCAGACAAGCCAAAAAAGGTCTGTTCAATTGAGAGGTCCTGTCTTTCCCAGATTTTCAAAGATGGATAGTTTTTGCTTCATTTAGATTTCCTGCCAGGAATGTAAATGCTAGAAACAAATGTGTGTAAAACATATCACATAAAAATATAACTAAACATAGCTACTGTATGTATCACATATACGCTTATAGCTTAAAAATCCAGTCTTCCACTCAGCCTTCACGAGCAAGTTTGAACCTGTAACATCCCTGTTTTTTCTGCAGAAAACACTAGAGACGCTTAAACCAGAACTTTGTTTAGGCAACGCTCAAAGGGAGGGTACAGGATGGTGTGTCAGCAGAAATAATAGGTCATGAACAGCACATAATGCTTTGAGGAAGGTGTTTTTGTGTTCTCAACAGGTGGTTGGAAAGAGTTGTAACTGAGAAAAATGGGCTGTTCAACAAGAAAATCTAGAACGGCAAACAGTAGTCAGTCTCTGATTAGCTAGGAGTGTGAGAATACCATAAGATTCCTGGAGACGAAAAAAATGTTGCGTGCATCTGACCTTAATCACCTTAAGTGATTTGGTCAAAGTCAAGATAAAATAATATCAGGTGCTTATTTCTACGACTTTGTGAAAGTTAATTTGTGTTCTTTTTTTAAAATATTTAGATTTGTAATATGCAGGAATTCATCCAAACAGACAATGAAGAATGAATTCAGTATTGACTTTACTGGAAAGGTTCTGTAATACCTTGAATAAGTAACATGCATTTAGTGCTGTATCTATAACTTCAGTTTCAGAATTTTTATGTCATGAGGAAGTGCAACATTTTTCCACTGGTGTGCCTTCAGATTTTAAGGGAATGGGCACAGAATTTAGGAAGGGTCACATATGAGAAAAATAAAAAATGAATGCAAATTGTTCCTATGTATTAATTTCATGGAGTAATCAAAGTATCATGTTTCACATTCACTGTATGCACATGAGACTGGCCACCCAAGACTGTCTGTGTGGGACTCGTGTGGTGTACGGTCCATTTTTCACATTTGATGGACAGGAAATATGCTTCATTGTATTAATTCCTGCCAGGATAAGGCAAATATGAGGTAAACTCTGGTAAAAGGCTGAAATTATTTTGCTTAGAATACTAATAACAAAGTGCTTAGACAGGTGATGTACAGTATGTGTGTGTGTGTGTATGTGTTTGAAACAGGGCAGCTGTGCTAGAGAATTTTCAGACTCCTGTAAGTGTACCCTGGGGGGAAAGGCTGAAAAACACTGAGTTAGAAGCTTCATAATTTTTCTTACCCTTAGCCTCTGGACTTGAACTTCTTGCTTTTCAGCCATAGTGTGAAAGCTTTTGAATTGGAAATCATCAAGCAGTAGGTAAACAGGAACTCCCCGGACTGAAGCATCTACAACCTCTTTAAATATATCCACGTCTGTAAAAATGTCCATGACAATTGCAATGACCTGGAATGAAATGAAATACACTTTATTTTTTTAAAATAGCAGCACACAGCATATCCAGAATGTACAATATCAAATGCATGAGACTAGAATGTAAAAACTTGAGTGCTGTTTACTAATGGAAAAAAAATGCAATTTGCTTTAAATTTCTTTTGCATTGAATGTTAAAACTTGCCAGTGTCTGGCTAACCCCTGGTATTTTCTATTGAAGCTTTTTAACATCCAGCCAGCAAGACTGAGATACGGCACAGGTAGCCAGAATCTATTCAGTTCCCATGTGTGCATTTCTCTCATTAAAGTTTTTTCTTTGCTGGTGGAGTGCTTTCAAAAATATGCTTCCATTCACTCTGGAGATGAACAGACAGGGTATTTTGGAATAAAATTGGATTTGAATCTCCTTTGAAAAGCCTTAGTTACCAATGGCGTTAATAATATTTGCTAAATGGTATGCCATTAAGTAGGTGACATTCTCAAACTGTTGCAAAGGAACAAGTAATAGGTTTATTCCTGCTGAAAACAGAAGAAAGAAAACACAACGTTTTGGCTGTTGAATTTTTTTCGGGTGGAAGAAAGATAGGGCGGTCAGCAAAGATAATATAGGAACAAGTAATAGGTTTATTCCATGCTGAAAAAAAGAAGAAAGAGAACACAACGTTTCGCCCGTGGAGCCTTCTTCAGGTGTGAGAGAGACAGGGCCAAGATAATATAGCCTGGGAAAACAACAGCCAGGAGCGAGGAGGAGGCGGGAGCAGGGGAGATGCAGAGTGGCCAATCATGTGGTGCGAGGTCGAGAGAGGTGAGGAGAGGTGGGAAACCAAACCTACAAATGAATAGAGAGGATTAGAAGAAAACAAGTCTGTTGTTGAGAGGAGGGGGAAGGTGTGAACCAAGTTTCAGGATAATTTTAGTTTCTGATGTCTTTCTGCTATGGGAGTTGAGAAACCCTACTTTGAGAATGCAGACGGAGAGATCAATGTGATCATGGCCATCAGAGGTGAAATGAGAAACCATGGGCTTGGAGAGATCTTTAATCTTCACAGCCCTGACATGTTCCCTGAAGCGGTCTCCGAGTCTCCTTCCTGTTTCCCCAATGTAGATGGCTGGGCATTTACTGCAAGAGATACAGTAAGTGAGGTTGCTGGAGGTACAAGATGTCATCTGAGTGCTCCGGAATTGTCCTGAGGGGCCTTGAAGGAGTCTGGTGTTAGATACAGTTAATATTTGCAGGTGATGCAGCAAGTTCTGTTGCAAGGGAAAGTGCCTGGTGTGGATGGTTGCTGAGGGCGTTCAAGGGAGCTGTGAACAAAAAGGTTATGTGGATTAGGTGGTCGGCAATATGAGATGATGGGGTGGTCAGAAAAGAGGGTCCCAATGGAGGGATCATCCTGTAGGATAGGAAAGCTGTCGTTAACAGTCCTGGGGATAGAGAGTGTGGAAGGTAGGGCAGGTAGATTAGGGTGGTAGGGAAGCACCAAAGGAATTTTTAGGCCAGGGGTTCCTGATCGAGTATATGGTCCGTGGGGTGTTTTTGGCTCGGATAAGGGCGCTGTCAATAAGGCGGGTGGGGTATCCTCTATTGATAAAAAAAAGAGTGCATTTTGAGTGCTTGGTTCTGGAAATCGACTTCATCACTGCAGGGTCATCGTAGCCGAAGGAACTGTGAAAAAGGGAGAGTTTTTAGTGTGTTTGGGGTGAAATGAGCTGTACAGAAGATAACTGTGTGAATCTGTGGGTTTGTATTAGACCGAAGCAGTCGGGGATGGTTAATGGATAGGTTTATGTCTAGAAAGGGAAGAGTTTTGGAGGATATATTAACTGTATATATGAGGGACGGGTGGAAGTTGAAGTGGTGAAGTAATGCAGGAAGTGCTCTAGCTGGTCATTAGAGCACGTGGCTGCACCAACGCAGTCATCGATGTATCGCTGTAGTATGTATGTAGTCTACAATGTAGTAGAGGTCCAGGACAAAGCCAGTGTAGGAAGCGAAGAAGCATTCTACTCAGCCGACAAAAATATTGGCATTGCTGGGTCCCATTCTGGTGCCCATGGCGACCTCTTTAACTTGCTGGTTAAAAAGCAGCTACCCACCTGAACTACTTCTCAAACGGTTGTCTAACAGAGCTGAATTTGTTAAATATCTTATTTAAAATATATGTTTGCCAGTGAAGCAGGGAAGTGGGTAAAACCTTGTTAATCACTCTCCAGCTCTCTGTGGCTTTGGATATGCTGTATGAAACTGGGAAATTCAACCAATGATTCCAAGATGAAACATGAACATAGGTGTTTCTCAGGTGTTTCAGAAATGCAAACTCACAAAATGGGTTAAATATCATGTTAATTTGCATGAAGATTTCAATGATATTGAGTTGAAAGATATTCATAGCTGTGAATGCAACAAACACTTCGGGCAGAACCTACCATTTGTACATCTCAAATTCCTGATTGAAATAAAGATGGGCATTCTGTGCTGATAAAAACAATTGGTAATATACCTGACGGCAAAAGCACTGAATCCTTACACATAAAAACATCATGTAATCTCCATAAAGTAATTACTGTTCTTGAAAGAATTTTTGTGTAGTTTGCATTTTATTGTTCTCTCACCTGTTACATAAGCCATTTTTTCATTCATTTTTATGTTAGCGAAGATATAATTCTTGAGGTTTGCGACTAGGCGTGTGTGAGAACGCACTGTGTCACAGGGTTATTGTGGTGACACAGAGGCATGCCTCCTTGTGCGAGAACTTCTGACTCAGTAATACAAATTACTGCCAGACCAGAGCAACCACAGGGAGCCAGGCAAAACACACACAGCAGGACACAATTAAGGGAAGAGATTACAGGAAATCCAAATGATATAAAGACAATTTTGCACAGGGTGGTTTTTATAGCAGGGAATTGTTCCCTGTGGTCAGAATGTAACAGTTGATGTTTAAATCTAGCAAGAGAGAGCACAAAGGAAAAAGATTAAAAATGATTACTCTACGCCCACACACATACTTAAATATAGTTTTGGAAAATCAGCAGGAGCAGGAGTTAGAAAATGGCGAATAGCAGGTAAATGAGCTCAGATAGGAGAAAATGGACAGCAGGTCTGAGAGTGTGCCTGTAAATGCACAGAGGTCTCTCTCCTAGTACTTGTTCACAATTGTCTGGAGCATCAAGCATTTTACCGAGGTGAAGCCTTCTTTGTGTCTATGAATAAATATTACTACTTAGTTTTCTGTTGTTCTTTTTTAAGGATTCTGTGGAGATCTTTGTAGCTACATTCTCCTCGGGTAAGTTTCTGAAATGACATGCTAAACATGCTAATCATATTGCATAGGCTTATTTCTCTTAATGAGAAAAATTATTTTTATTGCAGCACTGCTGATAGACAAGTATAGGAAGACACAGAATTTTAGAAATGTTGAGGATCCCATTTTTGCATCATGTAAGCTAGGTAGTTGCCCATCTATCATGTGAAAGTAAGCAATGGTGGGGATTCCCATTCTGTAGCAGCGGGGAGTGTTGACAGAAATCTCATGTGATTACAGTACATCAATTGTGTTTCTACTGAAGAAATCACCCTGATGTTGAACCACTGTATCAGCAGTTTGATCAATTGGAAGCAGAAGGGCATTGTAAGTCAGAAGTCATGTAACTGCAATGTGGTGTACCTTTGAAGTTTTCTCAAGAACCCCACACAGCTCTTATCACTCTTGGTCTGAGTAACATGAAAGTGCCTAACTGATTGCATTTATGCCAAAGGAGAAATCGGAAAGCACACTTGTTTTGGCGTCCTGTGATTACTGATTGCGTATTTGTGTAGCTGTTTTAAGTAATGCTTCACATTTGCCTAACAATGACTGATTGGATCTGGGATTCTAATTACAATTTGAAGCAAACATTACCCTGTTCTGCTTTAAATGCAGAAGAAAAAGATGGATTGGGCGGAGCGATGGCTCTGTGGCTAAGGATCTGTGTTTGTGACTGTAAGGTTGCTGGTTCAAATCCCACAGCTGGCAGAGGAATTCTACTCTGTTGGGCCCCTGAGCAAGGTCCTTAACCCCATCTGCTCCAGGGGTGCCATACAATGGCAGACCCTGCACTCTGATCCCAAGCTTATCTCCCTGTCTGTGTCTCCATGGAGAAAAGCTGGGGTATGCAAAAAGATGAATTCCTAATGCAAGAAATTGTATAGGGCTAATAAAGAAACATTATTATTATTAGAGTTAAAAATCTTAAAATTGCTGTTTAAAAGATCATAGGTAGCCTAAATATAGTGTTTTCAACAGAAAGTTTAAAAGGAAGCCAAAGTCTAATCTCACCCACTTCCGTTCTCCTATGTCTAAATACATCGCCTTCTGAGTACCTCCTTTGCATTTTCTTATCCACCTTCCCCTCCACCCCATCTGCACCCTTGCAGCAGCTCCCCAGCTCCTTCCTCATAAAAAAGGGGGTGGAGGGTCTGGTCAGCCTCATACTCCTGGACATTAATTAGGATCTGTCTTAACTACTGGAAAAGAAACTTCAAGATGCTGATAATGAAGGTTTTTCTTTCATGTACCAAACATAAATGTATACTTGAATATTCATGAATGATGCTGAATAACTGAAGCAATCAATAAAACCATTTGGCTATATTTAAAAAATGGAATTCTATAGTTTTTAGGGGTTTTTAAAGTGGTGTCAAAAGGAAGTCCTTAATACCTTTCTTGCATCCTGGATGTGTTTTCTTACAACTTCTTTGATGGTGGGGCAGTTTTGGCGAGGGGGGTGGAAGAACAGATCAATCTTGGTGCGGTTGATGGGATCAGGCAGGAACTCAGGCCAGCCCAGGTCCAGGTCTGGAGTCTCCACATCAGAATCCACCGGCCAGTAGGTCCCCGTGGAGGGTGTGTCATCGTGTGGTGCCTCATCATCCTCAGAGGGGCTGGCTGCAGGAGGCTTCTCCATGTTCGCCATGATGAACTCCAGCTCCTCCTCCGACAGGAAGTCCCCAATGCGCTCAGACACGAGAAAGTCCTGATACCTCTCCTTGCCTCCACTCACTAGAGTGTCAATGGCTAGGCGGTACGATTCTTTGTAATGTGGCAGAACATAGTCTTCGGGCTTGAATTCTCCTTTCAGAGAAGACAGCAGTGATAAAGATTCCATCGTTACTGTTGCCTTATGCAGCTCCTCGAAGGGACGTCAAGATGTTAATACTGGACACCTGGAACACATGTATTACATTTTTAGATAACTACAATTCTAATACTATTTTACATGAATTAAGATGTGTTTTCATATTACATGATGTTGAATGCTTATTAAACTACATGTATTTGTAACACATTCCATTCCTTTACACAATTTCTCTTATTCAATAAGATCTAATTACTATTATCAATTTATTACTGTGTTTTACTAATATATGCATTTTATTCATTTTCCAATTTAATCTTTTCCTTGTCTGTCTCAAAATGTAAATATGAAAGCACGCATATAGCATTAAATGAGCTGAGTATGTAAAATAAATCACCTTTGGATGAGGTACTGTTTTTGACCAAGTTTATAATTACATGGTCATTAGATCTTTAAGATCCTCTGGAATATTTGCGCTTTGTCTTTGAAGTATTTGTCTTTTTGTACCCAAGGCAGTTAATTGGAGACATTTTGTTTGCAATACAGAGTCTTCTCTGTCCTGTTATTCTTGATGTTTTGATGTAGCCCTTTTGTTTCATTTTGGTTTCTGTTTTCTCAGTTTGGGTTACTGTTCTGTTCTTATTGCTCAGTGTTTGATTTGTTCTTAAAATACTATCATATCTCCCTTTAGCTCAGCTGGCTGGGTCCCTGCTGAGTGAAGCCAGAGGTCTGGGTTCAAGTCCCCAGTGGTGGGGGGCTGACCTGAGCCAGCAGTGGTGAGGGTGCATACCCCTGTGACCCTGGGAGTGGTACAGTATAGTTAAAAGCTGGAGACTATGATTCTTCATGCTGTGTTTGTATTTCTTGGTGTAGAATCCCAGACATATTTTTGTCACATCAAGTGTAATCAGGAGATGGAACAATAACTCAAATTTCGATTTGAATCCCTAAGCACCAACGTTTTTACTGCTGGTTGACTGATTGCTAAAATAACATTTTAATTAAATAATGTCTTCCTTACTGAAAAACTGTGTCCTAAATTTTGAATTAGGATTTAAATTTTTGTATTTCTTTGTACACTGGAGCAAAGTGCTTATTGTGTGATAAAACAAGGGTCATTTTAAAGTGTAAAAGAAGAAATTCTTTTAAACTTTAAAAATTCTGTAAATGGCAAATTTGTGTATTAAGATGTCATGAAGGCAAGAACACTATGTTTTAAATAATCAAGATCTAATAAATACCTATAATTTAATGCAGCATTTAAGAACATATCCAAATTATTTATCCTGTCAATAAAGTCAGAGAAATTTTAAATAATTATCTTAATTTAGAACAATACTAATATAGTCTTCACTGGCCTAAAGGTGGCCCAAGGGATGAGTTATGCAAATACTAAACTACACCTACAGTATGCACAAAAGAAATACAACACTCAAGCCTAATGGACCTAATGAAATATATGTTAAATACAGATATCATAAGCAATCACAGACAAAATAAGTAAAAATACATTTAAGTGTTGTGTATTTTTTAAATGACAAGTATGTTTTCCCTGAGCATTTACTGTATATACTCCTGGTAACATTGTACAGACAATACAGACCTTTAATAGATCTTTAAATAGACTCTTGCTGTGCTCTTTTTTATCCTGTAATGAAGGTTGTTGTCTGCCTTTGAAGGCATTAGGAGGTTGGTCCCTGTTCTTTTTCATATTCTTTGTTAATTGGAATGAGCAGTCTTATTATGGGGGGTAATACTGGAGAACTAGTCAAATGTTTGTAATAGGGATGTTTATGTTAATATTAACTTCACTTCTATGTTTTTCTAGTTTAGTTTAATTTGGTGTAGTCAGTTAGGTGTGAGGAAGACTTTTTTTGGCATTGCCATTGCTATTGTTTTCAGGATAATTGTAGTAGATTTGCTTTCCAGCATCCCCCTTCCCCCTTAATGTGACCTTTTTATCTTGCTAGTATGTTTTTTTAACTTTTGTCATTAATATTCTAGCAGATACACTCTGTGTTGCCATTCAGTTTGTGCCCGTGTGTCCATTAAACCCAGCTCACATGTTGCTCTCTCCCCTGCCCTGGACGTACATAGAGTGGGGGTGTAATAGTCCCTTTGATGTTCTGCTGGACTCGGGTCATAAAAGAGAGTTGGCCACACCAAAGCCTAGACATTGTTTTCTTGTTGTGTCATTGTAATCCTAGATCTTTGTGGGCTTGCATTGCCCTGCTGGAAAACTGACACTTCCTCATTGGTTCATGCTATTTGTCAATATATCCCTGAGCGGTAAAGCTAGCCTTCATCCACTCTAAAGGCTTTATAATCATGTAAAAAGATATTCCTCTCTACTTCATCACATTTCCACTAATAACTGCTTTGCTTGAACAATGCAAATAGCGCTGAAATACAGCATTTATCACTGAAATAAACAGTCCCCCTTCTCTATTTACAATTCACTGTCCCAGGGAAGACAGTGATTTCATCCCTCGGCGATGGAGGTTACTCCTGAGGAGCCCCTGAGCACGAATATCATTTTCATGCAGATGGTCAGCTTCATTCTGCTGATGATTAACTCTTCCTGGAATCTCTCAGGCTGTAGCTGACTATACAGATGAATAATACATATGTGATAGTTCTGGGCCAGTGTGGCAACCCCCTGCCTACCAGGGTATGGCCTGTCCTTCAATAATACCAATTTCTTGGCTTCTGTTACATTGCCTGCTTATTGCTGAAGCAGAACATTTCTTTCCCCAGGAAACATTTCTTACATTTAGGCCATCTTCAATCATGTCTGTAGTAAATATACAGACTCCATTACTCAAGACAGCATGGTGATATCTACTGCTACTACTATGTTAATTGAAATCATGTTGTATGGATTGGACATTTTCAATAAAGTAATTTGGGGAATTTTAACTCTATTCAAATACTTAGCTCCCAGTGTTTTTATGACATCACATATGTTATGTTATCCCAAGAAATCAATCTCCACAATTGACAGACCTATTTACTCATTATTTAAATTGTGAATTACATTACGTATGTGCTCAATGAGCGTAAAAAGCTTAATTTTCTGTACTTAAAGTGTCCAAATGAAAAATAAGCTCCAGTGTTCTAAACAGAGTTTATATTGACTCCAATCCATACTTACTCCAGTAAGTATGGACTCCAACTCCAATTAAGAGAAAATTGTTGAGGGAGTGATGGGCTGGGTGCAGGGAAAATGCTTTCTGAACTAATAATATAGGTGGAGAATACCAAGTTGGAGATGAAAGCAGTGAAGGGAAAGTTGCTGAGTCAATTCCTACATATCGGATAGGATTTGAGCTGGCTCAAGACGCCTGACACTAGGGCCCTGTGTTGCAGTACTGCATGGCGAAGGGGCCAAAGAGGACGAGAGGCACCAGGATGAAGCCAACAGAAGGACAGAAGTGAGGTGCAGAGATAAGAAGGTGATGTGTGAAAGAGGAATCCCAGTGTCATGAGCATGTGGAGATAAGTGCAGAAGAGAAGCTGGCGCCCTGTGTAGTTGTAAACACGAAAGAGGGAGGGTGGATGTGGTGGTGGGTAGGAGTCAAGGAGGACGCCAACTTGGTGAGGGACCAAGGTGTGACTACCAACACGACCGGGACTTGGGACGCCTGATCAGGGCCGATGAGTCACGAGAGTCTCGGCAAAATTCAACAACAATGACAGCAACCCAGCAACAACAGAACACAGCAGGACATGACAAGACTGAGAGTAACAGCAAAATAGGGAAGCAGCAAAAGAGAGACAAACAAGTAGAGGACGTTTTGTTGGCACAAAGATAAAAATAACGACATCAGCAGCTGGTGACCTGACAGGAGGAACAGTGGATACCAGTTGAGGTCCTGATTGGAATTGGAGACCTGGAGGAAGGTCCAAGAAACGGGAAGGCTGCATTCCAGCCTTCTTTTTTTTAAGGAAGTTATTGCAGACGAAAAACTCTTGCAAGTAAAAAACAGTCCACTTGGCTAAATGCACTCAACTGACTGGTGGTTGGATGGGAAGGTACATAGATAGTGGGCTAAGCTGGTGGAATAAATCATCTGAGAGAGGGAAATGAGATCATGAAACAACTTGTAAGATGAATCTCAGGATGGCAGGAGCTCCATGAAGGCACTGGAGTTCCTGCCGTGGAGTCCTGCAAGCTGAGCCTGAAGGACGAGGTGGAACGTATGAGTGAGAGGAGACAAGAGGCTGAAGGGAAGCAGAGCAGCTGCTGGGGAACACAGCACAATAAGTCATACAGCAACAACTGCTGTGAGAGTGAGCTGGATATCTGATCTCCTGCCTAGACGACCACAACTGAGTCCCAAGGCTCTGATAAGAAGTATGATAAATGGTAGTAACTGTACCTGTCTTGATTCTGTTTAATAAGGAGGTGGGGGGCATGATGGTGTGGGGGTCGGTGCTGTTTTCTCTGGGGCTCAGTTCTAGCCTGTGTGGAGCTTGTGTGTTCCCTTTGTGGGTCTTCTCCAAGTGCTGCCGTTTTCCTCCACAGTCATGTAAGACATGTAATCTATGTTAGCTGGTGTTTCCACATTGTCCCTGTATGTGTTTGTGTGAAACTCATGTGATGGACTGATCCCATCCAGTGAGTTTCCTGCTTTGCACCTCAAATTTGACAAGTTAGGTTCCAGTTCTCCACAGCTTCAGCCTGGCAGAACCTGAACTAATCCATTATTAAAAATGTCTGGTTTCATACTTTGGAAGCACTAATTGCCTCAAGTAGAGTTTCTTAGGAGATAAAGCTTAGAATAAAGAGACTACAATAAATCACAGAATCCCCTTTTCCTAGCCTAGAAAAATATTATTTAATAGATAACAAAGCTCAGGTGATGGGAAAACAAAGATAACAGGAAGGGATTAAATCACAGACTAGTCACATAGATATACTACTGATATTTGTTTCGGATGCAACACTGCTCAATATCATCAAGTTCCAGAAAGCCTTTAACTGTCTAGGCAGCTTTTCACAGTACAGAAAATATATGGATTTCCAGGGACGTTACAGAAGATTATAGACGATCACACCAAATGTTCACAAGCTGAGAGACGTCTGAGAAGCATGTAGTTTATATCTTACCATCTCATTTTGGGAAAAACAAGATAGTAAGAATAGTGAGAAAATGTGTAGTACATAAAAAACAGCAGAAATATGTGGCAAATAGTGGTCATGGCTATCTAGAGTTTGCCCATGATATCTTATCTACGGAGCAGATAGCCAAAAAAGAAACAAGCAGAAAAAAAAAGAAACCTGTGAAATAGCTGACATGTCAAGGAACGTATTGTGAAATCAAAAGAAAAACTGAAGTTATGCAAATTCACACGCAAATTGAAGAAGGAAATTAAGCACAATTAATTATGATGAAGGCACCTCTAGGCAAGGTGTGAGGAGCAGGAGGTAGCAACAACACTTTATCACACATTAATCATTTCTAGAAAGCAAATCAAGTGTCATTTTTGTGCCCTATTTTTATTAGTTTCATTTTCTCCCCAAAGAAGAACAAAATGGGAACAAAGCAGTCTGACGCAACATCTCCACAGTCCCCGCCAGCGCTGGACCTGTCCTCCACATTCCCACCCAAAACCAATCAGCAAGCTGGGACAGAAACACCACTGCACACCAGCTGCAGGATGCCAAGTCTTCGTCACCCTTGTGACATTTCAGGCTCAAACTCCCTCGACTGGGTCTGCACTAGAAACCTCTGTGGGCACGAGCTTCACATGATGGTGACTTCGTGAGGAGTGAGGTATGACTGAAGCAAATATAAGTGACTCATTTGATGATTAGATTTTATGGCGTCCTAATCTATATTTTCCTTAATGTTCCAGGCAATTTATCCTGTTAGATTCAAACCCTATTTCAAATAGCAACAAGTGCTAAAGGTTTGTATGAAACATCTAACAGAAAAACACAGAAGAAGCGTGCTAGTCACATTGTGTTTCTCCTGAGGTCCACCAGGAAGACTGAGTTACTGTAAGGCAACATTTGAATCTAGAAGACTTAAGTTTATAGCAACAGGGTTTGTTATTTTTTCACTTCAGCCTGAAAAGTGGAAATTAAATCAATAAAATGTAAATTAAACGAGTTCACCAGTAGATGCTTATAAAAAATGATGAAAGTGATATGGTTTGATAACTGTTACAAACCGATTTAAATTTTAACAAACTGATATTGGAGCAATTTTTTAAATTTCAATTCAGTTAAAGTGACTCTGAATGTACATCTCGTGACATCTTGCTTTTTCTTCATGTACTGTACAAGTTCAGGCAAAGAGAGCAATGAGGATATACTGAGAGTTATTCAGTGCCCACAGCTTTTCACATCGGATAGATGAACTATCAAACGTTCAGGGCTCACCTGGTATTCAGGTATTTATTTTCTGTGAGCTAAAGCATTTTATGACTCACATTAATCACTACATTTTTATAGAGTTAATGTTCTGTAGAGACTGCTTCTAGCATTTTAAACAGAAAACAAACAACAAGCTTTCATTTTTCCGATACCTTAAAGATATTTTAATACCGTACTTTTAGGGCTGAAAAATGTGATAAACTATTCCAAAGTAAAAATGAAGAGTGCATTCTATACTTGTTTGACAATAGGATAATGTGGTCAGCGTTTTCAGGTTAAAAATTCTTTATGATTTTGTGTTAGCCAATAATATTAATGACTTTCACTTTTAAGATGTCCAGTCAGATTCAGAATTACAATGAACAGTGGGCTGCCCACTCACAGGCTCTGGCCTCGTCTAACGTCCACAGTGCCATCTGTCTCCCATTCAGGGTGACAGGAATCCTACTGGTACTGCCAGCTGGTTGACTGCGCATTCTGAATGGTTTTGCCTTATGAAATGTTGGATAGAGAAAGTCTAAAACTACCTTGAAATCAGCAAACGTTTTATGATGTTTTATTAAAAAATCAGTTAGCTGAATTAAAGGATTCTATGATTGAAAATGTAGCACAAGCAAAGGACATAAGAAACAAGGTTTGACAGCAATTTCAGTATGTTGTATACAGTATGTTTGCACTTCAGGGTATATTGTAAACACACATTAGGCACAAAGACAAACTACACATAGATTAACTGATGTTCTGTCTTATACGGTCTCTACGCATTATGCACAAAAATGTTGGTCTGATCAACTTGAACAGGCTTGCAAAATCATGCCTGATATCAGCATATCTTCCTTACAGCAAGCTTTAATGTTATACAACTTTTGGCATGAAATATTTGTAAACCTTGCCTCATGAATTTCAAATAAATGTGTTTCATTTCTACGGGTGTGCAGAATAATCTTCAAAAAATTAGATCTCTATGGCAAAAAAAATAAACAAAGGTTGTGTTTTTTTGTAAATACTTTAGAGCAGGGACTTCTTAATCTATGGTCTTCTGATTTTTGTAATTCAGTTCTAATAAGAATTGAACTGTTTTTGATCCCTATTTTTCAATTTTCTTTCAGATCATAAAAAGTCAAATGATTTTTGTTATTGATATCAACCCTTTACCAATTTCTGAGGTTCAGAACTTCAATCCTTCTGGTACATTACCTACAATGTCCCCATCTGCACCTCTGAAGATGCAAACAGCAGAAATAGATCCAAGAGTCTCATCCAATAACCTTGAAGGTTGTTAAGAATAATATACTTGGTTAGTATTGTATATTTTAGGGTATTTGTGAAATAAAAGAATGTGCACAGAAACAGCTAAACAGATCAATTAAAGGCGTTACCTAGCGGACTAGGTACAGTACTTAATCGAAATGAAAACCAGCAGACACAGTGACCGATCAGGACTAGAACCAGTTTGAAGTGCTATAAAAGGTAGTCCTAACAGACTACGTCATGTAAAAAGCCCACTGTCTGGTCTCAGCCTGGAGTTGTTTACATAGCAGTGTAGCCAATAAATGAACTGGCATGACAGTTCATCCTTGTTCCAGATCAGATTAGTTGAACAATCTAATAGTCTTGCTCTCAGCTCAGTTAGAAGAGGTAACTTCCCACATAATGCAGATTGATGCTTACTCAGAGGCTAAAACCAGATAATGATTCCCTCCTATTTCTCTCAAACATGGAGCATTCTATTCTTTGTTAAAAATGAATCGGAGTTTTAGTTACACTTCTAAGTCACTTAATGTTATCTAAGTAGGATAGGAATCCTAGAGAGAGCTTTTACTCTGCATAGGCATAATATTTGATGAATTAAAAATGATCATAGAGCATATTCAAATATATTACGACAAAAAAAAATTAAAAGAGTACTTTGATCAGAAAGCATTCATATTTGAAACTAATTCAACAAGCACACCAGAAGGTTTTGTCTATCTAAGAAGCAGAATATTTAAAAATAAAATAAATCCATCTTAAAAAAGCAAGATACCTGTCGCATTTTAATCAAACTGTGCTCTTAATTCTCAAAATATCCAAGATCTGGTCATCGTGTGATTTCCTCCTGTGCTGACATTCAGTTCTTTAAGAGCTGAATGTATTAAATCTGAAAAAGGTTCCTGACTGCCTTATCGTACCGTCCCATGGGCTTAGGGTCAGACTTAATCACAGCTCTGACCCTCCACAAGTTATTGCTCCAGTCCTTCATTGCAGGTTTTAAATGATGAAAGAAAACTCTGCCAGATAAAATTTTAAATCTGAACTACTTTTAATTTTTCTGTATTCTAGGTTTCTGTATTCTGTAGAAGTGATACAGAAGGGTAAAACTGTACTGTCAGCTATAAGAACAATATAATCAATAATGTATATTTCAGCACTGGATTGCATAGCAACAAAACTTTAGTGAAAACAAACGCATGTATGACAATACTGAATTCTAATTAAAAAAAAACAATCTGTAAGGGACTGATAAGTTAAATGTTATCTGATAAGCAACGTTTTTTTCTGAGTGATAACTATGTTGACCTCACATGCTAACACCTACAGTAGAATGTTGGTGTGCAACATGTGTGTCACATGTTCCCGCATGCTGAGGTCATGATGGAGTTGTATTCACTCTTTCCCACACATGTTTATTAGAGAGCAAACCTGCTTGGGTAAAAAAAAAAACCCAAAACTTTTTTTAAACTTATCTGCGAAATAATAGGTTTTCTTAATATTCTATTTCAAGTTCTATAATAAGCCTAAAGTACCTTTAATTCACAATGTTTTCACAATTTACAATGCTTCCTTTCAAATGCTAGTTCACAGCTAGAAAGAAAAATGGAATACGGGGGATCTAAAAGAATAAATCTCTCCCTAAATTCATCGTAGAGAAACACAAATTCTTCAATCAATCTGACACCTTTAAACTTGGAAAAACATTTCCGTTAGCAGGAAAGAAACGCATATATTTCCATTCAAAATGTGTGCTTGTCTTGTCATTCAAACAAGACACCTAACACTTTCCTAAATGCCTACTGATGAGTAGTACTGTTATTTTAAGTACAGATTTGTTAGCAATCTGGAAATATATTGCTAAAGTAAATTTAGAACGTTATTTCAAATTAAGAGCACAACTTTAACAAAGTTTTCAAGATAAAGAACCCTGCAGAAAAATTCATTTTACTAGATGATGAAAAGTAGACAGAAGAATTCCACAGTTTATCCTCAATTTTGAAACATAAAGACAATTGTGTTTTTTTTCTAAATAAGTATCTCAAAGCAGTATTACGTTTCTTTAAATGGGCTTGGATGAAACTTACTTTCTCATTGTCAGTAACAGGCAAATCTTCATCGATCCCTTCTTAAATTCCCATTAAATCTAAAATGTCTTCAGAAGCATTAAAAAGCATAAAAGCGTATATACATGCGCAAGGGAAGTACCTAAAACACCAGCATTTAAGAACTTTCCCACCAAAGAAGCAACAAAGACTAATCTAGGTGTTGTCGCTAAAGAAAAGCACAGCACTGCTGGAAGGGTGTGGAAACCAGTTTTCGCATGCAAATAAAGGCTATAGGAAACCTGTTCACAGAGGACTGCAGAAGACCCATTTGAAGAATAAGCTCCGCCTTTTTGCCAGTGGAAAAGTTCAGAGTACACCCAGATACCAATGTCATAGCCTCCCACACTCACAGCAGTCCTCTGTACAGAGTACACACACTGCGTTTAGTGAAACAGGAGCTCCTTCCAATGTACATTAGAGCTTAATGCAGACAATACTGAACCACTGTCCACAGGTTTACGCAGAACCATCAAATGGAAATCTTTTCCTTATAAAAAAAACAAAAAACAAATGTGAATTTGACTTCAAACAGTAGTTGTTTGAAATTCCAAACATTTAAGAAACCCCCAGAAGCTGTCTTTATAAAGGCACTTACAGTAGGTTGTCAATGTGTTGGCCCATGTCTGTAGGTAGAAGTTTTTATTTTAAAAATGCAGCAAAATTATTAGAGAAAAATGTATGTAAGAGGTTATGAAGGTTTTTTTAATAGAAGAAGTTCACTTATACAGCATGACTGAACTGATTACAGTCTGCTTTAGGCGCTAGTCACGGGACGTGTTCTGACATGCGACTGGTCTGTTTGCATAAAACGAAGCTTGTATCTCACGAAACCTTTGAAGAAGATCACTTAGCACTTTATCAAGGTTAAGGAAGGCTCAGATTAAAATCAGACCTTCAAACCATCTTGCCCATAGCACATTCCAAATGCTTCAGTTAAGGGCAGATTTTCTGGTGCTCAACCATTAGAAGATTTCTATAAAATATTCATTCTGGATTCTGGAATTCACAGTTGGGAGTCACAGGTGGGTGGAGCTTTTGATTAATTGTGTTATGTCAAGACAATTGAAAAGCAGGTGAAAGAGTTTTTTGTCCTTTTGTACCTAGACAGCAAACCTACTATAGACCTGTACATTGTGTAAGATGTTCAAAGCCTTGTTGATTTAACTCTGTGTAAAAGGAAAGGACTGACCTCTGTTCTCTTCTTGGCGAAAGGTGAAAGAAGCTGGAATACAAGTACATGTTTCTTACACCTAATAGTGTTGTTTGTTAACATGACAAATTGAAGTTGAAGAGTGAAAGCGCAGGGCAGCAGGGTGGCACAGTGGTCAGCATTACTGCCTCGCAGTGCTGGGGCCATGGGTTCAACCTTGGACCAGAGGTGCTGTCTGTGTGGAGTTTGCATGTTCCCCCTGTGTTCACATGGGTTTCCTCTGGGTGACTTGTACCTGTTGCTTCCCAGGACAGGCTCCCCATGATCCTGAACAGAAGAAGGTGGTCAGATAGAGGGAAGGAGCAAATCAAAATCAGCTGGCTGTCCCCAGGATTAACGTTGTCTATACTCCCAACCATCTAATAAGCTTTCTCAAACCTCTCTAAGCAATCATTTTCGTTTCCTAGACATGACAACCCCCTGAGAACTGGAAACATTAATGTTTCTCCTCATTGATCTCTTTCTAAGGCTAAAACATCTTCTGTGGTATGAGACCCAGAAGTTACCACAGTGAGGCTGAGGCTGAGACTGTGCAGCAGGATTGTTTTCTAAAGAGGATATATTATTGAAGAAGATACATTTCCGAGAGCCTTTGTCCATGGTTTTGACTGTTTAAGACTCATATTAGTTGATTGGTCAACACAGTCAACACATTTTCAGATGTGTTGACTGGAGGGCTTGAAGTTGTATGAAATCCTGTTCTACCGGGTTTAACACTCTTAATTTTGTCATTTAATGTGCAAGTAGACGTACAGTATATTATAGATTCAAGTGTTTTGCTGTTACAGCTTCTGTGCTTTCAGGTCTCCAGCTCACAGGATGCGGATCAGCAACCATTGGCATAAGATGGACATTTTGAAGACGCTTTGTCCAATTTAAAAGAGCCACAAGGACAGAGAAAGAAAGGCATCAAAGAAATGGATTATTATGTATTTATTATCTATAGCTCAGATAAACCCTAAATAAGGTGATAATTTGAATTTGCGTCAGTGATTTAACTCACCTGTCTGAGATAACCACGAGCCTGTTGAACCTTCACCTTTCTGAAGGCTGGGCCAGGCTGCAGCAGGGGCAGGACAGGGCGGAGGGAGGGAAGTGACAATGAAACAGAATGGAGTTAGCAAGCAGTGTCATAATTGTGCTTAAGCAGGAGGAAGGGGATGAGATTAGAGTATGACCTCCTCCCAGACCTTCCCTTAAAACTCTTATATTTTAGGAGTGATTAATCCACACCGCAGTTATTTTGAATTCATCTCACTCCTGTAGGTGGTATAGTCAATAGTTGGTCTTCAGACATGAAGACCTCGATTTATATCTGAGGTTATATGTTTAGCACTGGGGAGCCCCAACATCACAGCCCTTTTAAAATGCATTCTTGATTCTGGAAATTTAAATAACATCATATTATTATAGATTGCAATAAATTATAATAACAAAATAGAAAAACTCACAGAAATGCAATTTCATTTCCTGGGTCCTTTCAAAGGTTTTTACTGTGCAATTAAAATATTTGTCTATTTAGTGTATTTTGGTTTTCTCAAACCTGTGCCACTTATCTTACAGAGTTAATTAGGAGCTTCCTTGCAAAGTTGTAGCCATGGAGACTAGATTGACAAGAATGAAGATGCATTGTTTTGATATAAACTGTTTTTAACTCTCCTATAATTAAAATGAAACCAAGAAATCTATGTGGCATACATGCTTACAGAGTATGCATATTTAGTTTTCACCATAAGGAAAATATTTTGTTACTTTTCATGACACGGAATGCCAGTCCCAGTGTCAATATGCATTGTTAATCTTCCTTGAACATTTTGAACATAGCTTAAATCCTTCTCGTGCAAAGACATGCATTAAGAAACTGCAGTTATATTTTTAATATAGCAAGTTTGATTCTTCATCTCGAACTTCTGTGAGAACTATCCATGATAATAAATTCCACATAATACAGCGTTTCCTGGAATCGGCAACATCTCGAACCTGTATTCTAGATCAAGTAACAAAGTGGCCTAAAGTGTGACTGTGAACTACGGACATACTTCTGCAATACTTTCTAATTAGAAAAATGAGATTCTGAAACACAGATTATTTCAGTTCTACTATTAAACATAGATGTATCTTTTGTAGGAACAATATACATGGTTCACAGTGCTGTTTCACCACCAGACTGTTGGGAAGGTTTAAATATTGCAAATTTGTGTTTCATGACCACCGGGTCCTCACTTAATGGCGAGCTGGTGATTTTCAGTTACAGCTCTCCATTGCTTGACAGGGACTGTGCTACCACATTTTAAGAATTTTAAATACAAATAGACTGAAACCCAGCACAAAATGTAAAAAATAACTGAAAAACAGAAAAGTGCTTGCTTGAAAACTGACCCAAAGTGATGTAATCAACTTTCACTGTGCTAATTTTAGGTAACAGTGGAAATGGAACCTTGTTAGCGATAGAAATTGATGTATGGTTCACAGCACATGAAATGAGGATCTAAATTGTTTCAAGACAAATGAAACCACGCTTGTTCTCTGTACAGCAGCAAAGGGCTGATTTTAATTAACATTACCAGGAAATTGTAGAGCCTGGATCCATGCACAAGACACCCAATTTCTTTTGATTTTTTTTGTTATTTCAGCAGTTCAGCCAAACCCTAATTGAGACAAAGTAGAGGTGCTTTATTGGCTCAACCTGCCTGGCTGAGGCAATAGCAACTGAAACATAGGGATGAGACTGTCAGCACCTCCCCCTCTTTCCACAAGGAGAGATACTGTATAGTAACAATAATAAGAATACTGCTAATAATATTAATACACTTTATTTTATATAGTGCCTTTAAAGGTGGCTTCGCAAAGCGCTTTACAGAATGACAACAACAATAAATAAAAAGAATACACAAGGTAAAAAACAATTACAATACACAGAGGAGACCGTGGATGGTGGTAGTAAGAAAAGTAGAAGCAGAGGGGTAAAGAATGGAACCAGTTAGGTAAAGGCTCTTCTACAGAAGAAGGTTTTGGGTCTGGATTTGAAGGAGTTTAGAGAAGGTGACTGTGATATCTGATATGTTGGGAATTTGTTGTGTGGGTGATGTTGGGGTGAAGAGAGAGATGTGAAAAGAAAACTCATGAGTGGGCTAGTGCACTGGAATAGTGATACCTAGCCATATAAAGTGGGCCAGGATGAGGTTTGACCTTCTTCTGGACTTTAATTTGAAACACCTGAGCACACCAGGTTCAGACAGGATAGCAGCTTTGTCTGGTCCACATTCCCCAGGAGGCTTTGGGGAAATCAGCTGCTGCTCTCAGTCACATGACCAGCTGCTGGAAGACAATTGGTCAGGTGACCGTTTAAAAACCAGGAACCTGAGCCAGATTCTCTGTGTGTGCCATTTGCCCAAGAGGGGAAGACTGAACAAGCTTTTGGAACACTGTAACTGTGAACAAAGCAGCTGTGTTTTTTTTAGATTTCTGGTGGTTTTGTTTTAAAGAGTCTGGAGCATCTTTGTGAAAGAAGAGATTGAAATACTGTTAGTTGTTTGTTGTGAAGTAAGCACCATCCCTGATAGGAAGTTGAAGAAGTCAGTCAGGAGCTCAAAAAGGAGCTAGATATTTGACTATATTATCCAGTTGTATCCCTATCTTTATGAGCATTTGATCTTTAATGAGACACTTTAATGAGAACTTCCTGCGATTGTGCTTCCTTCCAGTGTTGAGGAAAATAATATTTCCCATCTCTGGCAGACTGATTGAAAGTCAAGTTATGAATGCTGGCCTGGCATAAGGATGAAATAGATCAGAAGAAAGCCTTTCGTGTAGTTATGCTGCTGGTCATGATAGTGATGAAATTGCAATGCAGACTATGTTCAGCATAATCAGAACTGTACATGAGAGGAGGACTGCAGCCTTATTCCACAGCGTCCTGTATAACTAACCTTTACCCCATGACATAATATTGTAGATTTTGTAAATCAATCATTAAAAATGAATAATTTGAA